ATTTTCACTTCGTGATACATGTAAATCATTTCCGATTTATATGTTCGTTCCCGTGATTTATAATTTACTATTTTACAATGGTCAAATTTTATTATACTTGAGGAAAATATATTTATTACAGGTGTCAAATTATGGTTTATGTTGTTTATTTATTTAATTATTTATGTGGAATAAAACAATCTCATAATAAAAAGGAAACATTTAGATGTAGATTGCCAAGTTCAATTTGATCAATGTTAGGAGCAATTTGAATAGAATAATGGATTATTATTAAAAAAAAAATGGAAAGGCAGGCATTGGTAGTGAAAATTGTTGAAAGTTGAAAGAGTCTTTAATTATCTCAACCTGCTTATTACCCTGGTGTACAGAATATTTCAAAGGCTTGGGGGATAATGAATAGAAATTATTAAATATAGCTTTTCATTCTCTTGCACTTTATGATGTGTCTATTGATAATAAATAATTCATTTGTTTTGACAACCAACTGTGTTGTATATTGACCACCTTAAACTCTCAAGCACCTCAATATAATATGATGTGTAGTTTGATATAAAATTTTCTAAAAATAATAATTTAATAAATATTATGTAGAGTTTCTATATACTTGTTCTTATTTGAATAAACATTTAATGTAATTCATATACTTGAGTTCATAACAGACAAAAAATAAATCTTATTCAAGTAGAAGCCCTATTAATATGACATTAATTGGTTTGAATTGAATTGAATGCATTTTTTTGAATTCAAGTAGAATCACCTTAAAATTCGACTCAATTCAGTTCATTTGGAGCTTTAATTATATCCTCCAGAGTCTGACATGAGGTTAATCTATCATTTGGAAAGATTGTGATATTTAATTATAAAATCTTAAAATGGGGAATGCTGCAACAAAACCAGACAAAGTGAACATTGATATTATCAAGAATTTCAGGGATCAAAATTTAGTCATTATTATCACAATTGCATTGTAATTATAATTTAACAGTCCAATTTGTTACCTTAAGTGATATATAGAACCACTCCTATATAAAATAGTTAATATGAAACTCATTTATATCACCTAAGAATTATAACACCATTAGAAGTATTCTAAAAAAAGAACAAGGTGAAAAAATTGCTCAAAATAAATGATACTCAGACACTAGAAACTTATCTAAGAAAAAAAAAAGATTACTTATGAAATTTACCAAGAAAGAAAAATAAATGAAAGCGTCATGATGATGCATTATTACCTAATAAAAAGCAAAAATCCTTAAAAGGAAAATAACTACCGTTTTCTTTGATAATTGGAATGAATTTCAATTTATACAGAGGGAAATTACTTTCTTATTTTCAATCAAGATCATCTTTTAGTCTCTTTGACTTCAATTTGAGCAATATGACCATTCTTTGATCTTTTAATTTCCTGTTTTCTTCTTCTATATGATTAATTTTCTCTTCTAAACTTTTTATCTTATCTAATAACTCCTGTTTTTGCTTTTTACTTCACTCTTCTGATTTTTCCTGAAATTTGGCTACTTCTTCTCTTTCAATTTCTAAGGCTTCTTTAGTCTCATTTAGTTGTTCTTGTAGGGAGCTTATTTGTCTTTCATAAAAAGTAGACTGACTTATTTCTTCATGAGGTAAGAGAGGAAGTTCCTTCTCTTCTAAATCT